TGTAATCCCAGTTACTTGAGAGGCTGAGGCAGAAGGATCTCTTGAGCCTAGGAAGCAGAAGTTGCGGTGAGCCAAAATCACGCCACTGCACTCAAGCCTGGGTGACAAAGCGAGACTCTGTCTCAAATTAATAATAATAATGATAATAGATAGATAGCTGATTGCGGATGGTAACCATATGGACAGAATACCTCTATGGCAACACCTAGATTGGCATTGGGTGGAACTGCAGAGGGCTACAGGTGGCCACAGGAACTGACCATCGCAGCCCTGTGTAGGTGCAGGATCTTCGCCCTCTTGGCGTGAGTTCCGGCATCTGCTTCCTCGTGCAGTGCCTCTGGGCTCCATCTGCGCCTCCTGTGTTCAGTTTTGGCCACGTCAGCCCGGTCCATATGTGTCCTTCTATGGTTTTGGAGTTTCCTGTTGCACTTAGAAAAGCCATTCCTACCCCATGATCATAAAAATAGTCTTCAGATGTCTTTTTTTTTAGCACTATTATGGTTTTCTTTTTTTAGGTGAGACCATCAGTTGGTATGGAATTTATTTGGGGCATGATGGAAGGAAGCTGGAGGGGCACATTCCTAAGTCTTTCCAGCAGCCAGCAGGGGGCACTGCAGGCCCAGGCAGCCCCTGGTGTTCCCTGGGGCCTTCCTGGTGCCCGTGGCCACTCCAATAGGCAGAAGGGCTGGACTCTTCTAGTGCAGCAGGATCCCCACCCAACCGGAGGGCCCTGCAGCTGGTTCTTCCCGCCCCCACCACCACTGTCCCTCTCTCCCCGCAGCGTTCCTAGATAACCCTGGCATCCTGAGCGAGCTCTGCGGAACCCTGTCCCGCCTGGCCATCCGCAACGAGTTCTGCCAGGAGGTCGTCGACCTCGGGGGCCTAAGCATCCTGGTGTCCCTGCTAGCTGACTTCAATGACCACCAGGTGGGGAACCAGAGCGGCGTTCTGGTATGAAGCCCCCCTGGCCCAGTGCATGCTGTCCCTCTGGGTCCCAGTCAGCCGGACGAGCCATAGTCAGAACAAGCCGGCCCTGCCTGCCAATCTCGGAACCAAAGTGCAGTTTTTCTTTTCACTGACCCAAGGGCAGGAACCAAAGGTTGAGGGGGGAACAAACCCACCCGCTCTCCCTTACTGTCCTTTTGCACCAGGAAAAGGATGGTGGGAAGCACAGGGTGGGGGTGTGTTGGCCAAGGCTGGGATATTTGGGTTAGTTCCCACACCTAAGTAGCTAGGAAACTCTGCCTCAGTTTCCCTAGCTGCAGAATAGAGCAGGGTCCCCTACTCATTACTCCATTTAGCAGCTGATTATCGAGCCCTTCTCCATGTGCCCACCCACAGCAGGGAGCCAGTCAACAGGCGCCTCCCTATCCAGCTGCAGCTGCAGGAAAGCCCCCAGGGGTGCCACAGTCCTGCGCCCCCAAGCCTCGCTGGTGACGTCACTCAGCTTCTTTCTGTGCAAGTGGCTGGGAGCTGAATGGGAACCAACTTCAGCGCATAAAGGGATACATTTTGCCATGTATTATTGGGCAGTCAGGGGTCAGGGTCCTCAGGTTCCCCATTAAGGGGATCAGCAGTCCCAATAGCATCTTATCCACTGTCCTCAGTGCAGGGCAGTTAGCGCCCACCCTGGGTCTGTGGCCGTGGCCAGGGGGACCCTGTGCTCTGAAGGCCGGCCTGAGTCACATGCCCCCTCTGCCCCTGTGGGGATAGGGGATCAAGTCACCTGGATGCCATTTGGACATAGGCAGCCTGAGCCACAGGCATCTGCCACCCCTTTTCATTAGTCACACTCTGCAGTCACACCGTACTTGCTGGTGAAACAGTAAAACAGCCCCAGATTCTCCCTCAGAGCCCTCTCCCACAATCCAGCGGCCTGGCTGGGGGTGACCGAGCCTTTCCCTTGTGCAGGAGCTCGTGAAGCAAGTGCTGAGCACCCTGCGAGCCATCGCAGGCAACGACGATGTGAAAGACGCTATTGTCCATGCCGGCGGGACGGAGTCCATCGTGGCTGCCATGACCCAGCACCTGACCTGCCCCCAGGTACCCACCTCTGGGGGCACACAGAGTAGCAGGGTAGTGGCTGGAGTCCCAGTTCAGTTTCTGTGTCTGCATGAAGCTCTATTCCTCTGTAGGGCCAGAGCAGGGCAGGTGAGGGTCACGGGCTCTGGCTCTCAAATGCTGACCTGCCTATGCATGACTCTGGGTGTCCTGGAGTTACCACCAGCACCCTGCAAAGGTCTGACCAGGCCTAGTGCCCTTGTCACCCCTAAGAGCTCGGCTGATACTTTTGTCACCCTGCCATCATGCCGTTATTACACAGGAGCTGCCAGAGACCCACAGAGGGGAGGCCGCAGGGTGTTCACCAGGGGTTGGCAGCCACGGCAGGATGTTGTGGAGGGTCTTTCCGCTACATCTCCGCCTTCCTGTGACTGCCCCCTGCAGGTGTGTGAGCAGAGCTGCGCGGCCCTGTGCTTCCTGGCCCTGCGTAAGCCGGACAACAGCCGCATCATCGTGGAGGGTGGAGGGGCTGTGGCAGCACTGCAGGCCATGAAGGCACACCCGCAGAAGGCCGGCGTGCAGGTGGGCAGGGCATGGGATGGGGGCAGGCAGGCTGGGGTGCGGTGTGCAGGTAGGTGCTGAGAGGGCATGGGAGCAGGTGCGATGTGTGGGTGGGTGATGGGGCAAAGGCTCAGTCCCTATCCCTGTCCCTTTCCCTGCCACAGCCGAGCCCCACAGGGCCAACTTCTTTCTCATCTTCCAAAATGTGCTGAATTCTGCCTGCAGCTGTTTCCTTTTCTGCCTTTGTTTTTTCTACATTTACTCTCCTATTTTGGGGAGGGGGGCATTGGGGGAGCTTTCTGGTGAAACCCCAGAAAGAAACCTATAACACATCATCTCCTTTTTTTTTTTGAGACAGTCTCACTCTGTCACCCAGGCTGGAGTGCAGTGGCGCCATCTCGGCTCACTACAACCTCCCTCCGCCTCCTGGGTTCAAGTGATTCTCCTGTCTCAGTCTCCGGAGTAGCTGGGTCCTCAGGCATGGGCCACTAAGCCTGGCTAATTTTTGTAATTTTAGCAGAGATGAGGTTTCGCCATGTTAGCCAGGCTGGTCTCGAACTCCTGACTTCAGGTGATCCACCACCTCCACCTCCCAAAGTGCTGGGATTACAGGTGTGAGCCACCACGCCCTTAATCTCGTTTCTTTTTCTTTCTTTTTTTTTTTTTCCGAGACGAAGTCTTACTCTTTCGCCCAGGCTGGAGTGCAGTGGTGCTTTCTTGGCTCACTGCAAGCTCTGCCTCCCGGGTTCACGCCATTCTCCTGCCTCAGCCTCCCAAGTAGCTGGGACTACAGGCCTGTAGTTTTTTTGTATACCGCTAATTTTTCGTATTTTTAGTAGAGACGGGGTTTCACCATGTTAGCCAGGATGGTCTCAATCTACTGACCTCGTGATCCACCCGCCTCGGCCTCCCAGAGTGCTGGGATTATAGGCGTTACCCACCGCGCCCGGCAATCTCCTTTCTTAAAAGTCGCTGTAGAGAGATCTGGGGAGGAAGAAGTTGGGGAAGCATGGATGGTGATCTGCCTGGGGCTTCAGAAAGGTTCCTGCCCCCTCCTTGGGCTGCTGGTCTAAGTTCTGGGTGTGGGACACCCTGTCCACACCTCCCTGGCTGAACCCAGACTCCTCCCTGCAGCCCCTGGGGCCCTCCTCGCCTCCTCACTCCCCGCATAGGGTCCTTGGACATACCAGGCTGGGACCCACAGGGGGCCTTTGCTCTCACTGGCTCTTACTCTGGGACACTATCCCTTACCTGGTCTGTCCCCTTGTCCACTTCTGGCCACCCTGGCCAGCAGCTCCCCACTCTGCATGCGCTTCCCATCTGCTCTCCTGTTGGTGGTGGGAGCCACCCTGGGAAGCTTCCAGGCAGCGTCCCGCACCCACCCACAGCAGGTGCACAGGGCACAAATGTCCACCGAACGTGTAGGAATGTAACTGACAGGCGCCTGTGCACAACCACTCTTTTCCTGTGGCCTCACTGCCCCCTTGCCCTAGGGCCCCTTCCTTGGCTCCGTGCCAGCCTCGGGGGACCTCAGACTCACCAACTCTGAGGCTGAGAGTTCCAAAGCCATGAGACAAATCCTGGAGCTTCCCTGAGCCTGTTTCCTTGCCTGGGAGTTGGGGGCATTAGCCTTGCCTTCTGGGGCTGCCAAGAGGGTAAAGTGGAGAGATGGGTCTAACTTGATACAGTGTAGGCAGCTGCTAGATGTCAGCTGTGGTTATGATCACCTCCATCTTGTTATGATGAAGACCCAGAGGCCAGAGTGGACCCCACCCCAAAGCCCTATCTGGCAGCTCACAGCTGCTCTCTCCTACAGAAACAGGCTTGCATGCTGATCCGAAACCTGGTGGCCCACAGCCAGGCCTTCTCGAAGCCCATCCTGGACTTGGGGGCTGAGGCACTCATCGTGCAGGCCCGATCGGCCCACCGTGACTGTGAGGACGTGGCCAAGGCTGCCCTACGGGACCTGGGTTGCCATGTCGAATTCCAAGAGCTGTGGACAGGCCAGAGGGGCAACCTGGCGCCATGACCCCAGGCCCAGTCTGGGCCATGACTCTGGGTGAGTCGTGTGACTCAGGAATGGGGGTAGATCCAGGTCCTCCACTGTCCCACATTAGTTCTGTCCCCTTCACAGTGAGAAGTGTTTTTCGGCAGTCCTTGGGTAAAGGGTCGGGGGGGGGGCTTGTAGGGAGGCATCTACACAGAAGAAAGCAGCCCCCACATCCCAGCCACTCCTGGGTCCCAGCCTCGCCTCCCCGCCAGCAGCATGGACGTTACTGTCCTTTTCCTTCCCCCTAGCCCCATGCCCTACCAGAAGGGGCAAAGGGCACGTCCCATCACTTACTGCCGTATCTGAAATGTGGTGGCCGCTGTGGGCCAGGCTCAGGGCAGGGCAGGCGATTCCAGTGGGGTTGGGCCCCCAGTGCCTGCTGCTTACTGCAGGTTCGTACGGGCCTCTGCTCCTCGTTTTTCTCACCTGTAAAATGGGTCTCAGATGCCTGGCCCCAGCTTGTCTGTCTCTGGTTTTGGGCCAGCCAGGGTACCTGATAATAAAAGATCATTGGGTAAACAATTGGAGGGGTCTCTTCCCTAGCTCAGCTGAGCATGGGGGGCTGTAGCCAGTGGCCTCAGAGTATGGGGGAAGGACAAACATTTTGGTGGGGGGGCCATGGAGTCACTGAGGGTAGCAAAGGGGTTTTGGGAATGGCCTGGGATATAGGATCCACTGTCACCCTCAGACAGGCAGGCACTGAGGCCATGGTCAGGATCACTGTTTCTGATGTGTACCACCCACAGGGCCGGAGGGCTCCACATTCATCCCCTACTCAGCTCTGCAGCCTTGAGCAAGTGAAAGAACCTCTCCGAGCCTCAATATGCTCCTCCTAAAGTGAGGAGTGGGGCAGTGATAGATCCCCCTCTGAGAGGTGTTGGGCCAGGCTGAGCACATGGGGGGTGCCCAGTTGTCTTAGGCTGGGTGTCCTAGATAGCCAACCTTTTGTCTCTGAGCCTCAATTTCCCCATCTATAAGATAGACATCGGCTGGGCACGGTGGCTCACGGCTATAATCCCAGCACTGTGGGAGGCTGAGGTGGGCGGGTCACTTGAGGTCAGGAGTTCGAGACCAACATGGTGAAACCCCATCTCTATTAAGAAAATACAAAAATCAGCCCAGTGTGGGGATGCATGCCTGTAATCCCAGTTACTCAGGAGGCTGAGACAGGAGAAGTGCTTGAACCTGGGTGGCAGTGGTTGCAGTGAGCTGAGATCACACCACTGCACTCCAGCCTGGGCAACAGGGTGAGACTCTGTCTCAAAAAAAAAAAAAAAAAAAAAAGACATCATCGTTGTTGGCCTCAGTGACCACCCCACCCCAAGCATTCTGGGGGGGCCCAGGCAGCCAAGGCCCCGCAGACCCCAGCTCTTCTGCTCTGAAGTCACACTCAGAGGTCACACCATGGTCACTAGGTAGCTTGTGTATCCCTTGTGCCCTGACGGGGGTCCAGGCAGCCTCAGGACCACTCGTGTGTGCCCCAGCCTTTCTGCCCACACCTTGGAGGCCTCTCCCCTCTTGGACCCTCGCCCCTGCTTGTCACGTGCCTCCCCGAGCCCCAGGATGGCCTGGACTCAGTCCTTGACCTCAGCGAAACTCCTTTCCCAGCAGGCCCCCAGCTTCCGCGGAATCCAGCTGATGCAAACAGCTGAGGAGCGTCACCCTGGCTGCACCTCCGTGTTGTCCTCGTCTTCCCTGCCCCCAGCAGGAAAGGGTGCTCTCAGCTCAGCAGGGCTGGCCCAAACCTCTGACCCAGTCACCCCGCCCTGTCCCTCCTCCCTGGAGACTCCCAGGATGTGGGAGAAAGATCTTGAACTTGCCCCAGACTGCCCTGACTTACCTGCTGGGCCAGTGTGACCTTGGGTAGTCTTGTGACCCTGGGCAGTTCTCAAGCATTTGTTCATCTGTCATGTGGTGGGGAGGTGCTCCTGGGCTATTTCTAGGAAGGCCTGCAGTGCTGGCCCTGTCATTCCTGCTCCAACCTTGCTCTCAGTCTGCCCATGGCTCCCCTTTGCCCTCTACATAAAACCTGCCTGTGGTCCCAGCAACTTGGGCTAAGGTGGGAAGATCACTTGAGCCCAGGAGTCCATGGCTGCAGTGAGTTAGGGTGGCACCACTGCACTCCAACCTGGGTGACAGAGCAAGAGCCTGTCTCAAAAAACAAAACAAAACAGAAAAACAAAAAATGCTTTTCATGGCCGGGCGCGGTGGCTCAAGCCTGTAATCCCAGCACTTTGGGAGGCCGAGACGGGCGGATCACGAGGTCAGGAGATCGAGACCATCCTGGCTGACACGGTGAAACCCCGTCTCTACCAAAAAAATATGAAAACTTAGCCGGGCGAGGTGGCGGGCGCCTGTAGTCCCAGCTACTTGGGAGGCTGAGGCCGGAGAATGGCGTGAACCCGGGAGGCGGAGCTTGCAGTGAGCTGAGATCCGGCCACTGCACTCCAGCCTGGGCGACAGAGCGAGACTCCGTCTCAAAAAAAAAAAAAAAAAAAAAAAAAAGCTCTTCATGCCCTGCAGACCCAGTGTGGCCCAGGCCCTGTCCATCTCCCATTTCCTCTCCACTGCACTCACTCCCTATTCCCCCACCCCAGGGCCTTTGCACAAGCCTCCATGTGACAAGCCATGCCTTCTGCCTAGAAGTGCCCTTCCCTCGGCCCTCCCCGTGGCTGGCTCCTCCTAGCATGTGAGGTTTCAGCTCAGATTGCCTCCTCCAGGAGAGACCCCCATCTCATCACCCCATGTGCTCTGGCTCTGACGCTGGGCCCCATCTGAGGTCACCTCGTTTGTGAACTCTCCTGTTTGTCTTGCCCCCACCATCGGCTGGCTCTCTGCAGGCAGGCCCCTGTCCCCCCTTGCTGCGCCTTCAGCTTCCCATCAATGTTTTTGAACGTTCACCTGAATAAACTGACAAGCACTCGAGGTCCCTGCCAGGTGGCCCCAGTGTCCTCCCCTGGGCCTGGGCCAAGCTGCAGGCTTCTTCAGGAAGGGGTGGTTCTGCCTTATCAGTCCCTCCCACCTTAGCCCAAGGAAGTGGGTGTCTTCAGTAGATGCAGCTAGCATGTTTGGACAGCCTCAGGTTGGGTGGGGGCCCCTCATCAAAGATCTCACATTTCCCTGGGGTTGATGGCCTGGCTTTCCATCCCCCTCAGCCACTTCAGGCATATCACCTCCCCTCTGTGAGCCTCGACTTTCTCATCTGAACTCAGGCTAGGTCTGGCACACTGGAGGGCCACAGCCCCTAGCAAGGCCCGATTCAGGGGATGTCCGGCGCATAACTCCCCCCAGCCCCATCCCCGTCCCCTTCCCTTTTCTGTCGCCCAGACTGGAGTGCAGTGGCACGATCTCGGCTCACTGCAACCTCTGCCTTCCAGGTTCAAGCCATCCTCCTGCCTCAGGCTCCTGAGGAGCTGGGACTACAGGCACGTGCCACACGCCTGGCTAATTTTTGTATTTTTAGTAGAGACGGGATTTTGCCACGTTGACCAGGCTGGTCTCCAACTCCTGACCTCAGGTGATCCACCTTCCTGAGCCTCTCAGAGTGCTGGGATTACAGGCATGAGCCACTGCACCTGGCCTTCTCTTTTTTTTTTTGACACGGAGTCTCGCTCTGTTGCCCAGGCTGGAGTGCAGTGGCACGATCTCGGCTCACTGCAAACTCCGCCTCCTGGGTTCACGCCATTCTCCTGCCTCGGCCTCCTGAGTAGCTAGGAATACAGGCGCCTACCACCACGCCCGGCTAATTTTTTTGTATTTTTTGTAGAGACGGGGTTTCATCGTGTTAGCCAGGATGATCGCGATCTCCTGATCTCGTGATCCACCCGCCTCGGCCTCCCCAGAGTGCTGGGATTACAGCTGTGAGCCACCGCGCCTGGCCCCGGCCTTCTCTTAAGTAGCTTTTGCTGCCCTTCTTGATGACATGGAGACCTGGGCTGAGGGGGAGCCTGCTGCAAGGATGGTGCAAGTATGTTCAGGCCAAGCCTCTGCTGCTGTGGGCTCTTGGTGAAGTGGCCTGACTTCTCTGAGTCTTGGGAGGTGAATGAGGCCACTCTGACCCCAGCCAGGCTTGGTTGTTGTCACTGCTGTGTTCAGGATGTGTCCCTCCAGCCCGGGATGGGCTTGGGTTCCTGGGAAAGGAACACAGATTTTTTTCTATTGTGAACATACATCTCGCAAAGGCTGGACTAAACCCCATTTTCCAGATAGGAAATAGACTCATGGGCATTTGAGGGACTGTGGTGCGATGAGACCACGGCTTGGCCTGCCTCCAGGCCCCTCATCTTTTTCCAAAGTTGTTAACCTGACCTTGGGCAAAAGGCCTTCTGGCGTCAGGTGATTAGGCCTGGACGCTGTGCCAGGGCCTGGCTCACAGCTGATTCCTGGGATCCCCAAGAGGTACAGGAGACTGGAGGGTGAAGAGGCAGTATCCTGTCCAGTGGCCAGCCAAAGCAGAAGAGCTGAGATCCTGGGCACCCTAGCTGGGCTCACATGAGTGCCTATGGTGGGGGTGTCCATTGCTATTGCCAGGGTGCTTTGCCTGCCATTGCTGGAAGGTGGTAGGGAGGTTGGCTGGCGCCAGTCTGCTAAAGAACGAGCAGAAGCTAGAGAGGCAGCCCTAGGCTGGGCCAGAGCCTGACCTTTGCCTTAGTTGGCGCTGTCCCTGGAAGTACTGTGGGACCTTCCAGGAGCTTTGTTACCTACCCCTCCCAGGGCCTGGCAGGTGGGCACTGGGAGTGGGGCCTCCTCAGCATAGATATCTTGCTCTTGGTGTGGCAAGCCACGCCCATAGTTAGTCTATGTCCATGAAGCGCTATTTACAGAGAGGGAAACAGGCCCAGAGAAGAACAATATATCATCATCACCAGACTTCTATGAGTGCTTACCGTGGACTAAGCCATTGTAAGCATTTCGCTTCCATTTCATCAATGCTCACATCAGCCCTAGGAGATAGCTGGGAAACTGAAGTGGGGAGCTTGTGTTATTTGCTGAAGGTTCTGTGGCTCTTACTGGCCATTGCTTATGTTAAAAAGAGCAGGGGTTCAAACCCAGCCCTGGGTCCTTCCACCAAGGAATATTCTCCACCATAGGCTCAGTTTTCTCATCTGCAAAGTGGGCACTGTTACGTCCACCTGGGAGTGAGGTGGGGAGATGGTATTGGAGAAAGCCCAGCAGGGACCTGGCACCCAGTTGATGTTTAACTGACCTCAGCTTCCTCCTCTTCTCTGGAGGGCACAATGGAGGCCAGGTCCTGGAAGTTGCTGGGTAGTAAACCATAGGTGGCAGGTATGGGAGGGGAGGTCCATGTAGGCATATCTTGAGAATATCAGGAGTTTGATGATGGCCTTGGGCTAGTGATTTCCAGTCACATCCTCCCCATTTGAAACTTGTGTATCACGCACTTAGCAGGGGCTTGCACAGCCCTGAAACATGAGCCCTTTCTAAGGTTGGTTTCAGCCTTGCTCCCTCCCAGGATTCCCTGGTTCTGAACTTGATCTCCACCAACCCTGGCCAGCACCTAGAGGAAACAAGAGCTGGTATCTGGAAACATTTGTAGCCTTCTTCGTCTTGAAAATGAAGGGTGAGTCAGAGAACAGAGTGGCCTCGGGGCAGGTGCCGATGACACAGCCATGCCTGAGATGGCAGGTGTCTCCCTAAACTGCTGGCATTTTTCTGCAAAGCAACGCCATTAACCACACTTCACAGAGGAGCTGAGGCTTACAGGCCGCACATGACCTGCTGAGGGTCAAATGCTTTCACCAGATAATTAAAATGAGAGCTGGGTTATAAATTTTCCCAGGGAAGCAACCCCAGAGAGGAAAGATCAAGGCATAGGAATCATTTTCCCCCTTCTTTTCCAAATGAAACAGCTGAGGCTCACAAAGCCTTTGCCCAAGGTTGTGTGGTGGGCCAGTGATTCGACAAGGATTCAAACCTAGGTCTCTTGAGGCCCCCAGTGGCTCTTCTCTGACACTCCCTTTCCAAAAAGCAGGCTGCTGTAGATTCATTGTCTGGTTTAGCAACCAACGTGCTGTGTAACCTTGGGCAAGGAGCTTGACCTCTCTGTGCTCTGGTTTCTGTAAAAGGGGTCAGTGGTCGCTTTGACCTCGTGGGACTGTGGTTAAGATTCAGTTAATTCATAAAAGGCTTAGCAGGGAGGAGGCCCAACAGGGATGTCACCGGATACCATGGCAGGTAACCTGGGACACAGGTCAGACACACAGAAAACCACACAGCACGTTTCAGTAGGATTCTGCTCCTTATTTCCATGTCTTCACACCACCTCGAGATGCAGAGGGCAGCTCAGAGTGACCTCCAGCGAATCTGCCCTCTCTGTGTCGTCTGCAGGGGATTAGTGGGGAGTAAGGGGATGGAGAATTATCCAGGAGTCCTTCAGCCTTGATGGTCCAAGTTCACAGCCGCTTCTGCGCTGGGTGGCCAGAGGGCGGGCTCTACACGAGAGCCTCAGGGGACCCTGCACCAGGCGTCGGGTTGCCGCGCTCTGGGTCAGACTGCACCTTGAACGCTCCAGCCTTCCCTGGGGGCGTACCGCCCACGGCCGCTGCGACTGGCCGCGGGACCTGCCAGTCTGCGGCTTTGCAGCCAATCCCCGTCTCCCCCCAGGCTACGCCCTCTGTTCCTCTCGCCTCTGTGCCACCGGTCGCGCCAGTTTCCTCGTAGCCCCGCCCTTGGTCCCCGGCGATTGGCCGACAGTTCTGCCTGTTTTCTGCCAAGATTCCTCGCCGGCCTCCAGGCCCTCGCCTCCCAGCGCCTAGCACCCTGCGGGACCACCGAGGCACCCCAGGCCTCTCCCAATAGCCCCACCTCTGCCCGTCAGCGATTGGCTTCGGGGGCTGCCCATACGCTTCATACCCGCCAATCACTGACGTTTCCAGCGCTGACTGGCCAGGGAGCAGCCAATCGGGGCGTGGCGTGGACCCCTCCCGTGGCGCGCTCTGGGGGTGCGCGAGGCGGGGCCGTGGCGGCTGGAGGTGGCGGCGGCGGCGACGCGTCCGGGCCGGTGAGGGGGCGCGGGGGCGCCGGGGGGCGCAAGCGTCAGCGGCCCGCGCTTGTCGGGCTGAAC